TGAGTTGATGGGTGCTGTTGTTGGTTCTGTTTTATAATAGAGAAACTGAGGCACAGGAAGGTGAAAGAACTTTCTCAAGGTCCTGTGGCCAGTAGTAGTTCAGCCCTAGAGCCTGTGGGATGAACAGCCTGCACTGAGGCTGGTTATCTGGGAGAGCGGGACTCAGAACATTCACCTTGACCTGCCAGGGCGTGGACACGCTCCTCCGGTGCTCGGTAAAGCAGCGCCAGGAGGAAGCCAGGGTGCCTCTCCCTCATGCGGTGACAATGGAGGATGCCAGCAGACTGCAGAGGCATCTTGATTTGAGAAAAAGCACTTGATTGGATCTCATTAAATTTTAATCATAAACTGAATTCAAAATAAATTGAAACCTGGTTGACAGAGCACAAAGGGTGGTGATAGATGGCGGGTGATGCGGCTGGAAAGGGGATCGCCTCCAGGAGACACCTCTGAGGCAAGGACAGACGGGTGGGACTTAATGAAGGCATTGTGTCCCTGGGAGAAGACAAACAGTACAGCCAGGGAGAGGAAGGGCACGAGTGAGCAGCCCGCGTAATTAATAAATGGCATAACAGCTCCTAAGTAATGAAGACTAGCTAGTCAGAAGCTGATTGGATTGTGTTTTGTGTCTGAGATGGACTCACGGATCCTAGCCTGGCCTTGACACCTGATCTTTCTGCCTCTACCTCCTTTGTGCTGAGATTATAGGTGCCACTATTTAGGCTGAATTGAAAGAAATGTATGCCTGCGTGTTTGTTTGTATGGGGGTACGGGTGTGTGTGTGTGTGTACACGCTCGATTGCTTTTGGAGACCCCAGATTGACATCAAGTGTCCTCCTCAATTGCAGGTGCGTACGTGTGGAGGACCGAGTTCCACGCTGTATCTTCTTTATTTACACTCCACTTTATGTATTGAGGCGAGGTGTCTCCCCACCTCAACGTTGTGGGTAGTTTGCCAATTTGCTCTCCAGGTTCCCTGGCTCCAAACACTGGAGAGTCTAGGAGGGCTGCCACACCCGCCTGGCTCTTAGGTGGAGTCTGTGGGTCTAAACTCCAGTCCTGAAACTTGAGCAACAAGTACTTTACCCCACAGAGACATCTTCCTAGCCCTGAACTTTTTTTTTTTTTTAATACTGTTTGGGTTACTGATGGGGTTGAAGAGTCCTGAAGACATACAACAGCATGACTATTTCAGGTGGGCATAAGAAATAAATATATACACTAGTAATTGGGAGTACTCTAACGCTAATTTGGATCAGGCCTTTGCTTTGCTTTGCTTTCTTTTCTTTTGGTCTTTCAAGACAAGATTTCTTCTGTGGAGCCCTGGCTGTCCTGGAATTCACTCTGTAGACCAGAGCTGGCCTCTAGTTCAGAGATCTGCCTGCCTCTGCCTCCCGACTGCTGGAACTAAAGGCATGCGCCACCACCATCCGACCTGGATCAGATTATTTTCAATCACAGATTCTCAAGGTGATTTTTACTCTCCAGAAAATAATTTAAATTTTCTTCTTACATTTATTTATTGTTTTATGGTGCATTGGGATGCCATGGCACCAACGTATAGGCCAGAAGACAACTGGGAAGGGTTTGTTCTCCTTCACACCACATGGGTTCCTAGGCTCAATCAGGTCATCAGGCTTGGTGACGAATACTTTTACAAGCTGAGTCATCTTGCTGGCCACAAAGAGTAATGTGTGTGTGTGTGTGTGTGTGTGTGTGTGTGTGTATCTAGCCACAGATTTTAAAAAATATCTGTAAACTCAATTTCTTTGTCTACTGCCTAAATGTATACAAATTATCATCAGATTGGTTTGTCTAGTAGAGGATTAGCTTGGTGTGAACTGTCTGGCTCACCTGAGTGATTCAACCCCGAGTGGGCAAGTACTTCCAAGCTTACTTGCAGAATTTCCCTGGGAGAGAAGCTGTTCCATTATGATTTGCCAGAGTCTTTGAGGTGGTGCGAGCCTTGGAGACATAGGAACATTTGCCAGACCTTACAAGGAAGTCTCACAACAGGCTGCAGGCGGTCATAATGCTCTGACCTGCAACGTGGACTTGGGACTTAGTGCTGAACTTGAAAGGGGGAGGGGAGACTTCTGGGAACAGTGAGGGCTGATAATAAAAACATTTGGAGAATCAACCTCAAGCCAGCTCAGGAGCTTTTGTTGCCATTGTCTGTCTGTCTGCCTGCTTACCTGTCTGTCTGTCTGCTTCATATAAGGTGGCCTTTCTAATGTAGGGACAGGAAGAGTATGGAAGAGAGAAAAAAAGCCTGGGAATTGTTAGTGCTATGAGAGAAAGACCTTGTAATCTATGTGCATTACAGGTACAGGAGGGGCTGCAGGGGAGAGTCATGCATATGTAGTGTGGGCCAGTGGCCAGGATGCCCAGGATAGGAAAAGTTCAGAGATGAGCATGAGGCCTGAGAGGAGGAGCAGAGAGGGCTGGGCACAAGATTCCAACACAGTCCAAGAGCCAGGTTTCCTTCATCGCTGAGGGAGATGCCAAGACCCCATGCAGACTGGGTCTGCCGGGTGTTAAAGGGGAACAGGCTGTGTGAGGGCCTCCCACCTATCCAAATTTCTTGCTTTCAGCGATGCCATGAGGGAATCAAGCCAAAGTGGCAGCATGCTTAGGGCCACCACATGGATGAAAGTCCATCCTTCCTTGGCTGCTTTATAGTCTATGGTCTCCGAGAAGGCCTGTGTACACACCTGCATGAAGTACACACCTGTGTGCACACCTGTATACAAGAAGAGTGAGCAGAGCACACAGAGTTTGGAGCACACATGGGCTCTAGAGGCATGCCGGGCAGGAGAGGAAGAATTTTGGAGGTGGGGAAGGGAGGAAACCCTGTGTTTCATGACCTAAAACTAGCTGGGAGACAGAACACTGAGAAGAAATAGGAGGGGCCTGGAGGACCGCTTCTAGACTCCAGCCAGCAGATGCTCCTTGTGGAAGGCCGGCTGGACTATTTTGATAAGTAGGATCAAAGTTTAAGGGTTGTTTAGTTGGCTATGGAAGGGCCTGGAAGTTGACCACACCTCCACCTATTGCAGTTGCCTACAGTTCATACAGATATGTTTTTTAAAGCTAATCTAAACTTGCCTGCTACAGAAAATGATTTAGATTCAGGATCTATCTGAGATTTCCATTCTGTAACATATAAGACATTGATTTAATTTAGACAAATTATGCCACCGTAATCTATCTTGCCGACAGCCAGTTAAAGGATGCCTGAAAATAGGACTTTCTCCTCTCTTAACTTTCAGTGTACTTGGAAGTCACTAACCCCTTCATCCAGGGAGGTGTGGGCTTGAACACCGTGTGTGTGTCTTTGGGCCCTCTGAGAATCAATAAGCTAGGAAGCTTTCTTTCCCACCCCTCCCCCCGGACCCTGCCACGTTGTCTGGTCCTCACTCCTGCTCAAGGCAGCCCCACGAAGTGAACACATCAGAATGGCTGCATCATCCGCCCGCCTCCTCACACTTGTCCTGTGTGGAATGACGTGGAAGAACAGCACCAGATTAAGAGTGGTCGTGGTAGAGCGTCTACCATCAAAGTGGGGCTGGCAGCTATACAACTGTTACCCCAGTTTCAGATGATAGCGCTTCAGGATTTGAAATAAGAATCAGGAACTCCACAAGCAAACATGTTGGAAGTCCAGAATACAGAGAAGTGCTGTCCTATACCAGAACCTGGACACCCTACAGAGGGTTTAGCCATACCCAAAGCTCCAAATCAGCCAGAACATGCTGGAACTGTATTGACTGTCAGTAATTGCTCAAAAGAAACAATAATAATGTTTCTTAAAGCAGTGGTTTGGAAAAGGTTAAGGACCCAGTGTATCTGCCAGCTAGTAATGACTTCAATCATAGTCGCCAGCCTTACATGGTGTGGGATGTGTGTCTCTGTTCCCTTTCCCCTCCCATTAAAGGCCCACACACGGACTGCCGGGGCCTGGAGTGCCTTCAGTGCCTTCTGATCCAGCTCCTGGCCTCTGCACCGGGATCGTCTGCCAGCTCTGGAGCCTGCCCTGACTCCCAGCAAACACATGGGACATGAGCTAAATTCAAGAAATCCCATTTCCCCCGTGTGGTTAAAGCCAGAAATGATGGCTGGATTCTAGGCAGCTCTCCTGCAGAGCTGCAGCTGATACCCCACCCCCCACCCCACCACCCCACCACCCCCACCCCACCACAGGCTGCCTTCTCTGACAGCTGCTTTACCTTCGGCCTGGAAAGCAGATGAGGGAAATTGAAAAAAAAAATTTTTTTTTTTAAGTTTACATGCAAGATTGAGTACCTCTATGGTGTTTGATGACGTGCCAGGTTCTGGAGGCTGGAAAAATATAAGAAGCAAAGGCCTTCCTTATGTACTAGTAGCAGAGGTACTTTATATGTGTAATAATAGTAAACAAAACAAGTTTTAGAGACCACCCATTATGGTACCCTTCTGGGACTGTACTGGACTTGCTTTCTTAGAAAGGAATTCAGACATAATCATGTTAGTGTGTGTGCGCACACACACATACACACACACATTTTGTGGATGAAGAAATCCAGGCTTCAGGGAGCCAAAGAGAATTGCCTAAGAGATGGACCCACACAAAGTAGAGGGAAAACTTGGAAGCAAGTTTTCTGTCCTCTTTTTCAATTAATTTGGTTTCTTTCCACTGACACTCTTTGAAAAAAAAGTCTCTGTAGTCTAAGAGGCCACTGTGAACTAGGAAGTCACAGAGAAGGCAGCTTCCAATGTTTCTCCCCTGGCAATCCCAGCACCATCCAGACCCAGCAAATGACTGGCTCCGGGAAAAGGAGGCCGTGGGGGTGGGAGGGGGTGGGGGTGGTGTGGAGCACTTTCAGACCCAAGATCGTGATGTTGGTGTTTTTCCCCCAGTATAAACTAGAGACAAACTGGGAGTTGGCCTTCCCGCCGTCACTGACGTGTCTTGGGCTGAAAGCCAATTATTTAATCCTTTCTACCATGGCTCCCTCTGTGGAAAAACAGTTTTGATTCGTTTTAAAGACTGGTTCTCGCTACCTCGCCCAGGCTGGCCTTGAACTCACTATGCACCTTGATTTCTTGATGGCTAACTATGAGTACTGAAAATTCCAACCAGGCAGCTCGTCGTGGTGTGTCCTCTCCTTAAAGAGTTAAGCCCAGCCTGGCCTGCCCGAGAGAAACCCTAAACAGGCGCCACATTCTTGCAGCAACTCTGTCACAGTCTCAGCTCAAAGTGGCCTCCAGATGAACAAGGTAAAGGTGGGGACATGAGGGCATGAGGGCGGCGGGAAGTGCGATCCGGACCTTCTGGCAACGGCGAAGGCAGTGGACTGGAAAGCCGGTCAGTGGTTAAAGAGGTCAGAGCAGGCAGGCACCGTGAGCTCACTTACCTAAGATCGCCACCGACAGACGGGCCCGGGGGGTGGTCGCTGCCTCTGCTCTCGGGGATCCACCTTGGGCCGCTCAGACCTCCCTCGCCCTCTCCAGGTCCAGGTAGGTGGTGGAGCAGGCTCTCGAGCAGGAAGTGAATGTTGTATGCAAATCTCCACGGAGAGGAAGCCTCCGCTCAGCAGTCTCCCCGTGGGGCAGTGAATCAACCGCTGAGAAGTCACTTTATTTCTTAAAACAGAAACCTCCTGTGTTCACCAGAGAGAACCAGCAACCAATTAGGCTGCATCCTGCTTTTACCACCCAGATAAGAAACTGCGAGGAATGCCCCGGGCTTCTGCAGCTCCAGAGAAGGTGTCTCACGGAGACTGAACTAGTATTCAGACTGTTTTTTCTTGCTCTGCTTCAAACGAGGAAACCTGGGCCTGATGATGGGAGGGAACACCTGAAGCAAGAGCTTTCCACTGTGTCTTTTAACTCACTGAAACAGATTTGCTGCCCGTAACTAAGGGGCAAAGGACTCACTGCTCACAGCCCTGTTCAGGACTGTGCACACACTCATACACACACACACACACACACACACACACACACATCTCTGGCTTCTCATTTCACAATCTTAAGATTATTTCTTCCTTTTCCCTTTGTTTATTCAGTAGCCTACAGAATGTCTTGCTCAGATGGGGGTCCTGGAGGCAGAAGGATGCCACAGTGCGGTGTGTGGGTAATATAAATCCAGGTTACTTCCAAGGCATCGGAAGGTGATGGGAGCCAGTCTGGGTGTGAACTCCCAGCCAGTAGGGCTCCCCCCTCCCCCACAGAAGGTGTCTCAGACTGAGCCAGTCCTGTCTCCCCACTCTTTCATAGGGGACACCACCCAGAATGCCCTCAATCAGGTTGCCCCAGATCTGTTCCTGTATTACACTTAAAGTTGTGTCACACATTATGAGCGAAGGGATGTGGCTTGTTTTTAAAACGTTATAATAAAGGTGGTACACATTGTGGTGTGTTTTTATAATGAAGTACTACTTAGCTGTTAAAACAATGAATATTTGTATCTATTACTTGTACAAATTAATATGGAAAGTGGATCTCAGAAATTATTAATAAAACATTATTTTTGACAATATATATGGTCACACACAGGGAAGAGAAAGAGAGAGAGAGAGAGAGAGAGAGAGAGAGAGAGAGAGAGAGAGAGAGATTTATGTGTCCCCAGCATCTAGGACACTGCCCTTGACATTGTAGGCAATCACTGTGTACCTGATGTTCTCATCAAGTCAGAAACGCCAGGAGCTGAGCCCAGTAGCACAGGTCTGATGTTCTTGTATTTATTAGCTCAGCCTTGAACTTTCTGCCTCAAAACTTATTATTAGATCTTAGGGGTTGGGAGGAAAAACATTCTTTGTGGAATGGCTGAAACTAGGATAACTGGAGGGAGGCAGCTATCAGCACTGAAATGAGAACCGGAAAGGGAGGCGATGGCATGGGGCGGGGAGAGGGGGGAGGAGGGGGAGGGGGAGGGGGAGGAGGGGGGCAGTAGGAGAGAGAAGCCGAACTCATTTCTCATAGCTGTCCTAAAATGGGCTGAGTAGAGCCTCAGAGGTGTTTCTGGGAAACTCTGCCTTTGGAACCCTTTCCATCGAGGAGTCAGGACAGCCTTTTCTTCCAGTCTCCACCCAAAGAGAGCTGTGATGGGGGGCCTGTGGGAAAGGCAGCAGGCCTAAGGCCTGTCTGAGGTTGCTGGGCACCCCTCCTCTCCGAATCCATCCTGAGCTTGGGGAATGGGATAACAGCTCAGAGCCTCTGCCGGCCCCTCCTGGAAAGCAGCCCAAGGATGTAAACTGTTTATAGAGAGTCTCCCGCACAAAGAAACTTCTGTCTGCGCATGCCTGGTGAGCTTAGCCTGAAAGAGGAATGACAGAGGCCGTGCCTGAGGACTGGACATAAACACCTCAGGTTCCCAGATGCTCTTCACTGCTGTCTGGAGGCGCATGTGTAGCCTCCCAGGGAGCAGCTGGGGACCTTTGCACACCATTTACCCTCCGAGCAGACCTGAGAGGTGCAGACACTGCCATGCCCACTGTGCCTTCGAGGCCCACAAGGCTCAGAGACACCCAGTAGCTTCTTGAAGGGCACACAGCTGATTTGTGGAGCGGCCAGAGCTGTCTGGCTTGGAGGTGTCTTTCCTCCCTGGCTGCTTAGCTCTGGAGTGTTTCCTACAAGTCTGAGTGCAGCTGAGGTAGTTCCCTTTATACAACTCTTGACAATGCTCAAGAGGGAAAGGAAGGAAGCAATAAACAGGCAATGCCATGACTGCCAGTCACTATGGGTTGTGTTTACACAAGAATCGCTGCTGTCAAAGTCAAAAGTAGCAGGTCCACAAGACAATATATGGGCCAACCACCTCACACTGAGTTAAAAAGTCCAGAAGTAAGGGATTTATGTTTGCCAAGTTCTAGGGATTTCTGTGTCTTCTGTCAGTTAGGGTGTGTCTTGGTTGCCTTTCTGTTGCTGTGAGAAGATGCCATCACCAAGACAACTCAGAAAAGAAAGTGTTTAATTAGGCATTTACTGTTTCAGAGAGTTATACTATGTTTGAATGCTTGGCCATAGGGAGTGGCACTATTAAGAGGTGTGACCTTGTTGGAGGAAGTGTGTCATATGTCACTACCTCCTATGCTCTGGCTCTGACCAGTATGGAAGAGACCCTTCTAAAATGAGTGTCCTCCTGGCTGCCTTCGGATCAAGATGTAGAACTCTTGGCTCTCTAGCCCCAAGTCTACTTGCCTGATGCCATCCTTCCCACCATGATGATAATGTACCGAACCTCTGACCCTATAAGCAGCTTTGGTTATGTGCCTCTTCACAGCAATAAAACCCTGAGCTGGCACCAGGGACTGGGGTATTGCTGTGATAGGCCTGACTATACTTTTGTTTGGAAGAATGTGAATTTTGGGACTTTGGATTTGGAATGCAGTGGAATGTTTTAAATGGGGCTTAACGGGCTACCCTACTAGGAATATGGAAGACTTCGTTGCTCAGAGTTCTGCATCTTGTTCTGAAGACAGACAGGAGAAGACTGGCTTCCAGGCAGCTAGGATAAGAGTCTTAAAGCCCACACCCACAGTGACACACTTCCTCCAGCAAGGCCACACCTACTCCAACAAGGCCAACTTCCTAATAGTGCCACTCCCTGGGCCAAGCATACTCAAACCACCACAGAACTATAACTAAGAAATGGAGGGCACAGCTGTGAGAGATTTTTCTGCATAGTTGGAAGTAGGTGAGTCCACTTCTAGTCTAGACTTTGAGGTAGAAAGATAAAGCTCTGATTCAGATTTTGAGATGGGAAGACATAGGTTTTAAATCTGGACCTGAGGTGGGAAGACATCTTTAATCTGGGCCACACCTTCTGCTGGTGTAATATTAATTAACTATAAATATTATATGTTACATGTATATGCAATATATATATGTATATGTATTTGTGTGTGTGTGTTTTAGAATTTTATTTCCTATGAAGAAACACCGTGACTTAGGCAAGTTTCATGAATAAGTTTCATTTAATTGGGGCTGGCTTACAGGTTCAGAGGTTCAGTCCATTATCATCATGGTAGGAAGCATGATAGTGTCTAGGTAGACATGGTGCTGGAAAAGGAGCTGAGAGTTCTACATCTTGATCCAAAGATAGCAAAATGGAAACTCTGCCTTCTACAGGCAGCCAGGAAGAAGCTCTGAAATCCCACTTCCACTGTGACACACTTCCTCCAACAAGGCCTTATCTCCTAATAATGCCACTTCCCATGGGCCAAGTGCATTCAAATCACCACATTCCACTTCCTGACACCCATAGGCTATGGAGGTCATACCTAGCCATAGCATAATGCAAAATATATTTAGTCTAATTTCAAAAGTCTCCATAGTCTATCACGGTATCATCATTTAAAAGTTCTAAGTCTCTTCTGAGAGTCAAGCAGTCTCTTAACTGTAATCCCCTAAAAAACCTAAATTAAAAAGCAGATCACATACTTTCTAATGTATCATGACACAAGATATACATTACCATCCCAAAACATCATGGTGAGAAAACACTGGACCAAAGCAACATCACAAACCATCTGGGCAAACTCTAAACTCTGCATGTCCGATGTCAAACTCCTTCCAGTTTTGATGACTACAACAAACTTATTTCTCCTGGGTTAGTTACACTCCCTATTAGCAGCTTTCCTAGGCAAGTATCCCACAGCTCTGGCATTTTTAACATCTTTGGGTCTCCAAGGCTCAACTTCACAGCTTCTTGTTCCAATATCTGGGATCTGCACATCATCTTCTGGGCTCCTCTAAAGGGCTGGCATCACTTCTCCAGCTCTGCCCTCTGTAGCACTCTAGGCTCTGGTTGGCTCCCCTCCACTGCTGCTTCTGTTCATGGTGGTCATCCCATGGTACTGATATCTATAATACGCTGAGATTTTTCTACTGCAACTGGACTTCATCGAGAGGCTCCATTCATGAACCTCAACTTCATTCTTGGGCTGTCAACTGCAACTGAGGCTGCACTTTCACCAATGGCCTTTCCTGGCCAAGTCTCAGCTGCTCTCCATGTCCCCTTTATGCCTTCAAAATTAGTACCACTGCAGCATGAAGTACAACATTGGTTATTTCTGGAACAGAGCTTCTTTGTGGTCTCAGAAAACACTTCTCAGAAGATTTCACCTCTGTGATACTGGTCTCTTCTCACTGCTAATTTCTTAGCTCCAGCTAACCAGCATCAATTGTCCAAGTAGTCCCTTCTATTCTTAACTTTGAAGCCAGAGCCACATGGATTAAGCTGCCAAATTCTCCTGATTGCTGGGGCTTGAACACACCCCTCTTGTTCTATTACATCATCACCAGTTTTCTGCTTTCCAACTCTTTCAACTGCCTAAGCTTGGCTTCCTGGAACTTGTTCTGTAGACTGACTTTGAACTCAAGAGATCTGCATGCCTCTGTCTCCTGAGTTCTGGGATTAAAATCATGTACCATCATGAAGAAATAGTATATTCTGAGACCTTCAGGGCAGCCCTTAAGGCTGTAGGAAAGAACTCTGAATACATGAGTTCAAAACTATGCAAAATATAAGGATGCAATATGAATTATAGAAGGAGCTTCATGGACCTAAAAGAACAGAGGCAGTTGCACTATGAGCCAGCCAGCTTGTCAGAAAGATACAAAGGTAGGCAGATTCCTAAATTCAAGGTCAGCCCAGGACAGAGTGAGGTTGGTCCTTGATGTAGTAGGAATGGTAATTTCAGTACAGGATCATACCCAGCTAAGTTTATTGTCTGTGTTTATAAAGGGAGGCAGATTTCTGAACTTATTTGCAATGTTTTTAAAAAATGTGCTTGTTGTCTTTTTCTAAGAATCAGCGGGCTGGGGTCAGGTGATGCTGAGTCATGGGATAATCAAAAGGGAACCTGGAGTAAATGACTGAATTGATATATAAATTAAAGACTGGGCTTTTGGTCTGTAAGAGATGAGCTATCCAGAGAGCTTTTAGAATTTTTTCCAGCAAAAGAGATCTTTCTTGAGCTATCTGGAAAGCTGTCTCCAGCAGAACACAGGCCATCAATTTGTACCCCATGATTTGACTTCCAGTCAATTTTTTTTCACTATTCTCAAACACTCCTTCTGTCAGGAATACCTCTCCAAGCTGAAGTGAATCCTTGGCAAAAAACAATAACCAGCTCATAATAACACCTAACATGATATAACCATCTCTTGTTCAACTGAAAACACATAAACAATAAGCTTAGCTCGGTGGGATCTTGCCCCGAAATCACCACTCCCTTAATTCCATTTAATATCCTTGAACACAGGATTTAGCTCTGTTTCATTTCCTGGTGCTTCTTTATTACTTGAACCATACAATTTGTAGTTTTCCTTTCTAAGCTTGCTATGCTTGATCAAAATGTTCTTCATGAGAGTAAATCAGAGGATAAAGTCTGTACTGGGCTTTTCTGAGATTTCCTTTATCAA